TTTGAATGACTCTCAGGCGGCCGTTACATCGCTCTTGTCCCCTACATTACTCATGCAACTTCACCACCTCCTTAGTCATCACCACCAGCGCGCGCCCCATGATCTAGATGCATACTTCACAACTCCTATGTCTTTCTTTCATTTTCTGTCTCTCTCGCACCCTGTCCTTCATGTTTTGGTTCGAGTGTTTTCTTCCCTTTGGTTTGTTCGCGTGGTATTGCTGCCGTGTAGTGTTGTTGTGTTGTTGTTGTGTTGTTGTTGTTGTTGTTGTTGTTGTTGTTGTTGTTGCTGTTGCTGTTGTTGTTGTTGTTGTTGTTGTTGTTGGTGTTGTTGTTGGTGTTGTTGCTGTTGTTGTGAACACTGGTGTTTGCAGCCGTCGTTTCGTCGTGGACGCGGCACGTGCAAATGTTGCTTTCGCTGCTTTCCTCTCTTTGGTTTGCGGTTTCTGTGGGTCGGGTGTTCTGCGTTCATATCTGCCTGACTGCCATACTGTAGATCATTTGTTGCTCTTGCTTCCTTTTTGTTTAACCAACAATGCCTTCCGTCTTTCTTGCGCTCACAGCGTGTGCACATTTTCGTCATTCATGCATGTTGTGTGTGTGTGTTTCGTTCATTCACGTTTGAGATGCACTGCTTGCTCGCACGTTTGTTGCTGCTGTTGTGACTCTGGGTCTGTGTTTTGCTGTTGTTAGTTTGTATTGCCTGTTTTGTTTGTTCATGTTCAGAAACCTTGGAGAACCACGCAGTGGGCATCTCATGGAAACAGCTTGTGTATGTGCATGTGCGTGTAGAACACAGAAACAAGTTGTAGTGAAAGCCGATTTGAAAGCTGCAAAAGTTGCGGTGATGACGGAAAGGGCATGCACGGCACGAAGAAATGGGAGAAAGCTGCAAGAGTTGTGGTGAGATGACGGAAAGCGCATGCACGGAACGAAGAAATGGGTACAAAGGAGTGCAGGTGGAGTGATAAATGTACACGCAGGGTGAAGATCATGATTGCGCAAATTCATAGCTAGTGAGCGAGAAACCAAGAGACAGGTACAACATCGTACTGGCAAAATGCATACGGACAAGACTGAAAAGTTCAGCCTGCAGAACACGTGGTCAACCACACACACACACACACACACACACACACACACACACACACACACACACACACACACACACACACAAACCAACACGCACACACACACACACAAAATGCGTGTGTGCGCGTGCGTGGCTGTGTTGTCTAAAAGGCGAATTCGCCCTCGTGGTCATCATCAATTGCTTCCATTTCGCTCAACTGCGCCAGAACGCCGGCAATCTGCGAGCGATTGGAGAGATTCATCAGCAGCTGTGGCGAAGGGAGTGCCGTGTCGCTGCTGCCAATGGTGTTACTCGACGCCGCCAGCGACCAAAGCTCGTCCGCAGGTGTGGTGGTGATGGTTGGCGTCGGCGGCTCGGGGGAGGACGGGTTGGCGGCTGTGGAAATCGTGGCGATGGAGACACGTGACGAGCGGCGTGACTCTGGTCTGAACTGCTGCAGATTCAGGATGACAGACTGGCGACGGCGGGCAGCGAGGGCGCGCGTCTCGCGCTTGAACCACTCGAGGCGCAGCACTGGTGATGAGGGATAGTGGTGGTGGTGGTGATGAGGGATAGTGATGGTGGTGGTGATGAGGGATAGTGATGGTGGTGGTGATGAGGGATAGTGATGGTGGTGGTGATGAGGGATAGTGATGGTGGTGGTGATGAGGGATAGTGATGGTGGTGGTGATGAGGGATAGTGATGGTGGTGGTGATGTGACACAGGAAAGGCGTGGGGTGCATTGAAGTCCACACGCAACAACAAGTGCACATTCGCGCACCGACACATGCATGCACAAGCACATCACATGCACCAACACACGCAACCTCGCATTCATGACATCTGGCACGACCAAGCAGAAGGGCGGCTCACGTCTGTTTGCGGATGTGCGCTTGTCAGGGTTGCGCTGCAACAGAAGTGTGATGAGCTCCTTGGCTTGCTCCGTCACGTCCACCCACTCCTCACTCGTCAAATCAGGCTCGCCGTAGTGCGCAGACGTAATTTCTAGTGGTGTTGTGTGTGTGTGTGTGTGCGTGTTTGGCACAGAAACGTCAATGGTTGAGAGGTTGGTTAAACACGCCTGCAGTGAGAGAGATGAACACATGCACACACACATGCACAAATAATGCACACACAACCCACACATGCACACACATACACACACAACCCACACACGCGCACACATTTACACACATGCACACACACACACATGCACACACACATGCACACACACATACACACACAACATGACACAAACGCCTGCATGGACAACTCACTGTCGTAGTTGAGCGGGATGTTGAAGGGCGGGAACCCGGTAAACATGACAAACATGACAACACCGAGCGACCACAGATCTGCCTCCACGTTGTAGCTGTCGTGATGATGTCATGTGTCAACAAATCATGGAGGAGTGGGGTGAGTGAGAGCAGCAGCAAGCAGAAGGCACAAATGAAGTGGGACATGTGTGCGTGTCGGGCACGCATGTCTCTGAGGGATAGGGGGGTCAAGAGGTTGCCGCTGTCAACTCTATCGCGCGCGCACACGCACACACACATGCGCGCAAACACACACACACGCATGGACACACACACACACACACGCATGAACACACACGCATGAACACACATGAACACACATGCACACACAAGTCCACGAAAGCACTCCACATGCGTACCCGTGTGATGAGCGGAGAGCAATCTCGGGTGCCATGTACGTTGGACTGCCGCACACATCAAACAGAGGACCTGTCACCTTGGTGGCCAGGCCAAAGTCAACCAGCTTCATGACCTGCCCACCGTCAGGGCGGCGGTGACACATGATGTTCTCGGGCTTGATGTCCCTGTGGGCAGCAAAGGGAATGGGTGACGTAACCGTTGTGCGTGCGTGTGTGTGTGTGTGTGTGTGTGTGTGTGTGTGTGTGTGTGTGTGTGTGTGGTTGTGCGTTCATGTCACTCACTGCCAAGGCATGCGCGAGCAAACAGTCAAAGACACGTGAAAACAGAAGTCAGACTGTGATCGGCCGCCCACCTGTGGATGATGCGACGTGCGTGCAGATACTGACGTGACACACACACAATTCACAAAAGCGACGATGGCAGGTGAGCGCATGAGAACAAGAGTGACACGCAACAGCAAGAGCATGTGAGAGCAACACACACACACACAAACACAAACATACGCAAACACACACAAACATACACAAACACACACAAACATACACAAACATACACACACACACAAACACACAAACAAACACAAACAAACACGCCGTGCCCCCCCCCCTCTCCCACTCCCTCCCTGTACCTGGAGAGCGCTGCACATGTCGTACATGACGGCGCGCGCGTCCGCTTCGGAGAAATGACCCGCTTTGACAATCATGTCAAAGAGATCGCCGCTGTTGACGAATTCGAGGATCAGGTACACGTGCGTGCGCGTCTCGTACGCGTCGTGCATGTGGATGATGTTGCCGTGGTTCACAATCTGCAGCACGCTCAGCTCACTCTTCATCAGGGCGCGTGTCTCTGGTCGGTACACGCGGTACTTTGGAATGATCTTCGCGGCGTGCACGGTGCGCGTTGAACGGCGACGACACTTGACCACATCGGCAAAGTTGCCATCGCCAAGCCTGTTCATCATCTCAAACTCGCCCAGCACCTCGTCCTCCTCGCACACCTTTCCGTCCAGAAACATGCAGTCGGGCAACGCCTCCCGCGCGCGCATTGCACGCGTGCGCATGACGAAATCAGGGTTGGGTGCGCGGTGGAAGCTGCGTCCGGTGTCGCGCTGCAATTTGCGCCGCGCCGAAAACCCACGCCAGTGGGACTGGATGACAACAGCGGCAAACTTGCGTGCATGCAACAGGTCCTCCATGCTCACGTTGAGTTCCGGCGTGAAGAAGCTCTCGCGCCGGCGCGACGACAGCGGCTGCGGTTTGAGCGTGTATGTCTGTAACGGCACCGTGTCCACACTCGCACTGCGCACCTGACCGCCACCAACAGGGTGGTGGCCTGCTGCTGGTATGTGCTGCGTGCTTGCTGCTCGCACCACCCCTGCTGTTGCTGTTGCCAGACCCGCGCTTGCCTGCTCGAGTGCGCCCGTCGCGCCACCTGTCTCCGCCACCGCCTCCGCGGAGAGCGGCCGGAACAGCTGTGGGGACGACGATGACGACACCGAACCAGCACTCGCCCGCGTCATTGCCGTTCGTGCACTCTCCGTACTCACCCGGCGACCGCCATCACTTCCCGACACTCGACGTTGCTGATGTTGCTGCTGTTGTTGGTGTTGTTGGGCCGTGCGCGTTGCTGCAGCACGATGATTCCTGTCAGTCGCCGTCCCATCGCCACCACCATCACCATGCTCACATATGGCCATCAGCCGCTCCCCTTGCTGTGCTCCACTCGCCTGCTGCTGCTGCTGCTCTTGCTGTTGCTGTTGTTTGCCTTTGCTGTGTCTGCGTTCTCGTTTCCGACTGCTGCGGCTGTTGCTACGCTTCTTCTTGCTTGCTCGTCTCGAAAACACGCCCGACCCGCACAGCGACAGCCGGAACGTGCCCTTGCTTGCAGGCAACGCCACCACCTCCACGGCCTCGGCTTGCTGTGGTGGTGTTGCGGTCGTGGCAGGTGCTGCTAATGCGGTCGCAAGCGGTGAGCGAGAGACACTGCGCTCAATCTGTGGCAGCCGCCGCTGTGGTGATGGCACATCCGTTCTTGTCGTTGTTGTTGTCGTTGTTGTCGTTGTTGTGTCCCCTGCTGCTGTCGCCGCTGCGCGTTGACGTGTGTGTTGCTGCGTTTCATCATTGTGGCCCTCTGTGCCACCAACCCCCGTATCCACAACACCATACTGCTGCTGCTGTGTGAGTGCTGTGTGTGTGGCTGCCGTTGCTGTGCTGCTGGTGCTGGTGCTGGCTGCCGTTGCTGTGCTGCCGTTGCTGGTGCTGGTGCTGGCTGCCGTTGCTGTTGCAGATGCAGTTGCCTGCGGTGTTCGCGGCAGCAGCAGTGGCGTCGACCAAGACGATGACAGCGACGGGTGGCGCTGCCGTTCCCCTGGCCATTGCGTGGCGGTGCCAACATCGCCATCACCACCACTGCTGCTGCTGTGGACACCGCCCGTGCTGTTGTTGTTGTTGTTGCTGATAGTGGTGTTGGTGGTGGTGTTGTTGGCGGTGGTGGTGGTGGTGGCTAGTGGCGGTACGAGCGTTCGTGACGACACGCTTCCTTTCCGCCCACCGCTCGTCCACGCTGCTGTTCCTTTTGGTGCTATTGTTGATGGTGCAATCAAATCGCGCCTGTCTTGCACACTGGTACTACTCGCCCCTGCTGTTGCTGCTGTTGCTGTTGTTGCTGCAATTGTTGTTGCTGTTCTCGCTGGGCGGAGGCGGCGCACACGCGTAACCGGACTGCCACTCTGCACCGCTGCCGACGGCACCTGAGGCAAACTCGTCATGAGCAACACAGGATAGCTGCTGCCGTTGTTGCCGTTGTTGTTGTCGTCGTCGTTGTTGTTGTTGTTGTTGTTGTTGTTGTTGTTGTTGTTGTTGTTGTTGCTGCTGTTGTTGTTGGTGTTGCTTGTGCGAGCATTCGCCCCAGTGGTCAAAGTTGTGAATGGAGGCCTGCTGCTGCTGGTGGTGGTGGTGGTGGAAACGTCCTGAACCTCCTGGACTGTGACCCATGAGCCTCGCTCGATCACCT